TTGCATTTACTTTACAACCATATATATAGCAGGAGGGATCGCCACAATCCACGAGGGCTTTCTGTCCCTATTCCTACCTCAAACTTGATTGAATCTGAACTGCAGATGACGACAACGGCAACGCCAAATAAGTGCATAGCCATAAAATCGCTCTAGTGTTCTTAGACTCTCCAAATGTCGCATCAAATAGATTGAACTTCGACGGCCCTGGGGTTTCGACTTTCCCACTGTAAAAAAAAAGAAATCCAAATTTAGAGAACCGCATGGCCCCGGAAGGATTCGAACCTCCACCTCCCTCAAGATCCTCAGGGATACTATTGAGTGGGAGGATCACCGCGATCTACGGGGAACTTTCTGTCCCTGTTCTTAGCTTGAACTTGAGAGTAAATTTAATTGACACTGAATCCGAGTACTATAGAACAGCCATTGGCATATGAGACAATCAGAGATATTAAACAGTTCAGCAAAATCGTGAATTTAAATTTCACAGAGGGGGATGGAGGGAACCGTCAGCGGAGGAGGAAAAAAAAAAAAAAAAGGGTGGATGGTGGCCCATGCCCTCGGGAGGATTCGAACCTCTGCGTCTCCCCAAATTATGATTTGCCTTTGGCAGATTTGGCATTGAGTAGGAGCAATCACCACAATCCACGAGGGCTTTCTCTCTCTGTTCTTAGGTTGAACTCGAATGAATCAATTCTGAGCTGTGGAGGACGACAATGGGAATACAAGGTATAAGTGAATGGCCCGAGAATCGCTCTAGTATTGGATATTAAACTCTTACTAAATGCCGCGTAAGTAGATTGAACTTCGACGGCTTTGGGGTTTCGACTTTCTCACTGTGAAAAAAAGAAATTCAAGTTTGGGGAAACAGATGTCCCCGGGGGGATTCGAACCTCCATCTCTCCTCGGACTTGAATTGCATCGACCACAGGTTGGTTATTTAGCAGGAGGGATCGCCACGATCCACGAGGGCTTCTTCCATCTCTTCCGGCCCTCATGATGAGTGAATATAATTCACGCTGTATCCTTGAGAATAACAACCACATTTCAAAGATTTTATGAGCTCCGTCGCCGGAAAATCAAGCATACTGAACACTTCAACTTGAATTTAAGTTCCTAGTGGTGACTGTCAAAGAAGAAAAAAAAGCTTGGTTACCAACTACCCACTATGCCCTCGGGAGGATTCGAACCTCTGCCTCTCCCAGGACTTGAATTGCATTGACCACATTTTGGTTATTTGGCAGGGGGGATCACCACGATCCACGAGGGCTTCCTCCACCTCTTCCTCCCCTCATGTTGAGTGAATCTAATTCACGCTGTATCCTTGAGAATAACAACCACATTTAAGATCCATTAATATTGAACTTCGTTGTGGCCGGAGAATCAATCATATTGAACAGTTCAACTTGAATTTAAATTTGACAGACCGTGGGCGGAGAGAAAAAAGATTGGATAACCCAATTATGTGTGCCCCCGGGAGGATTGGAACCTCTGCCTCTCCCCAAAGCACTTGACCCGATCATGAAGTAGGAGGGATCACCATGATCCACGAGGGCTTTCTCTCTCTGTTCTTAGCCTGAACTTGAGAGTAAATTTAATTTAATTGACATTGAATCCAGATTATAGAGAGCAGCCATTGAGATATGAATGGATAGCTAGAGAATCAGAGATATTGACCGTTCAACTTGAATAAATTTTACAGAGCGGGAGGGAGGGAGCTGTTGGTGGAGAAAAAAAGACCGAAGATCGTTCCTATAATGACCTCGGGAGGATTCGAACCTCTGCCTCTCCCCAAATTATCATTTGCCTACCGCTCATTGAGTAGGAGGGATCACCACGATCCACGAGGGCTTTCTCTCCGTTCTTAACTTGGACTTGAGAGTAAATTTAATTGACATTGAATCCAAATTATAGAGAGCGGTCATTGACATGTGAATAGATAGCCAGAGAACAGAGATATCGACCAGTTCAACGTGAATTTACGCTCCATAGCGACGACCATCGGCGGAGAAAAATCAAAACACATACATCATGCCCCCAGGAGGATTCGAACCTCCGCCTCCCTCAAGATCCTCAGGATAATGCAGGGATAGTATTGAGTGGGAGGTATCGCCACGATCCATGAGGGCTTCCTCAACTTCTTCCTTTCCTCAGGTTGAGTCTATCTAGATTCTAAAATGCATCCTTGAACACATCAACTACAAAATGGAATACCTACGGAGCTTTGGAGAAATTGGACATTTCAAATTTTCAACCAGACAGTGAATCAAGCAGGATGTACTTTGGGGGACCTGTTCTCAAAGCTACCACTTACTCGGGCCCACTGTTGAAAGAAAAAAAACAGAGGAAGGCAACAACCCATGCCCTCGGGAGGATTCGAACCTCCGCCTCTCTCCAAATTATCATTTGCCTACGGCTCATTGAGTAGGAGGGATCACCACGATCCATGAGGGCTTTCTCTCTGTTCTTAGGTTGAACTTGAATGAATCAATTCTGAACTGTGGAGGACGACAATTGTGACGGAAGCGAGAGGATCGAGTTCCGGCACAAGGTGGCAAATCGAGAGAACTGGTGTAAGTTGTCGATTAACCGAAGAACTGTAACTACATCAGGTACACTACTTATATACTATGAATCAAAGGCTGTGCATGGAGTGCATGGAGCATAATGATGAGGTGCGGCAGCAGCTCATCCAGATCATATGGCATAATAGTCATAAAAGGAATAGTTTGGGAGCATAGAACAACAAAAATAAATATTTCCGTTACAACAATGGGGATACAACGTATAAGTGAATGGCCGGAGAATCGCTCTGGTATTGGATCTTAGACTGTCACCAAATGGCGAGTCAAGTAGATTAAACATCCATGACCCTGGGTCGCCCACTGTCAAAAAAAAAAAAAAAAAAAAAACTGGACAGAACCACATGTCCTCGGGAGGATTCGAACCTCCATCTCTCCTCAGACTTGCATAAGTTCCACAGATCAATTATTTAGCAGGAGGGATCGCCACGATCCACGAGGGCTTTCTCTCCATATTCCCACCTCAAACTTGATTGAATCTGAACTGCAGATGACGACAACGGCAACACAAATCTGCATAGCCATAAAATCGCGCTAGTGTTAGATATTAGACTCTCGCCAAATGCCGAGTCAAGTAGATTAAACATCAATGACCCTGGGTCGCCCACTGTCCAAAAAAGAAAAAGCACTACTGCAACCACATATCCTCGGGAGGATTCGAACCTCCATCTCTCCTCGGATTTGAATTGCATCGCCATAGATCAACTATTCAGCAGGAGGGATCGCCACGATCCACGAGGGCTTTCTCTCCCTATTCCTAGCTTGAACTTAATTGAATCTGAACTGCAGATGACGACAACGGCAACACGAAATAAATGCATGGCCGTAAAATCGCGCTAGTGTTAGATATTAGATTCTCACCAAACGCTGAATCAAGTGGATTAAACATCCATGACCCTGGGTCGCCCCCTGTCAAAAAAAAAAAAAAACCGGAACCGTAGCCACATGTCCTTGGGAGGATTCGAACCTCCATCTCTCCTTGGACTTGCATAAGTTCCACAGATCAATTATTTAGCAGGAGGGATCGCCACGATCTACGAGGGCTTTCTCTCCCTATTCCTACCTCAAACTTGACTGAATCTGAACTGCAGAGGACGACAACGGCAACACAAAATAAATGCATAGCCATAAAATCGCACTAGTGTTAGATATTAGACTCTCACCAGATCCGAGTCAAGTAGATTAAACATCCATGACCCTGGGTCGCCCACTGTCAAAAAAAAAAAAAAAAAACTGGACGGAACCACATGCCCCAGGAGGATTCGAACCTCCAAATTGATTTCTATTCAAAGGCGCAACATGCAGTAGGAGCCATCACCATGACCCACGAGGGCTTTCTCTCTCTGTTCTTAACTTGAACTTGAGAGTGAATCTAATTCACATTGAATCCTGGAATAACGATTGACAATGGATAGGAATCAGAGGTATTAGCGCTTTAACGAACTCGAGAATCGGAATCTTGCAGAGGGGTATGGACCGTTGACGGAGAAAAACGACTGATGACTGCATCACGACCCAGGAGGATTCGAACCTCCGATCTCCCATAAGATCTTCGCTGGCAAATGCTTCAATATAAATATCAATGAGGGGGAGCAATCACCATGATCCACAGGGGCTTTATGGCTCTGTTCATAGCTTGAACTTGAGGGAATTTAATTCACACTGTGTCCTAGAGCATAACAATAACTATAACTTGGAATAGGTTACCATTAGGGACCTTAAGGATATTGAACTCTTCATCTAGATCGTGAATTCAACATGGTAAAAAATATACCGCAGATCTGCTTCGCCATTCCCGGATGTAAAAAAATGGAATGAAGAATGCACACTATGCCCTCGGGAGGATTCGAACCTCTGTCTCTCCCATAAGATCCTCAGACTGACTGCAAATCCATTGAGTGGGAGTGATCACCACGATCCACGAGGGCTTCCTCCACCTCTTCCGGCCCCCTGTTGAGTGAATCAACCCAGATTCTAGAATGCATCCTTGAACATCAACGATAACACTCATGAGATTTGAACATATTTAAAATTTCACCTAGAAGCACTTCGAAGAACCAGTTTTCAAAAGCTACCACTGGGCAGGGCCACTGTTAAAAAAAAAGCAAGGACAACCTAATCATGCCCCCGGGAGGATTCGAACCTCCGCCTTTCCCGAAATCTGCAACATCCTTGGATGCAACAGGAGCAATCACCACGATCCACGAGGGCTTTCTCTCTCTGTTCTTAGGTTGAACATGAATGAATCAATTCTGAACTTTGGAGGACGACAATAGCAACACAAAATCTGCATAGTCATAAAACCGCGCTAGTGTTAGAGATCTTAGACTCTCACCAGATGCTGAGTCAAGTAGATTAAACATCAATGACCCTGGGTCGCCCACTGTCCAAACAAGAAAAAGCACTACTGCAACCACATGTCCTCGGGAGGATTCGAACCTCCATCTCTCCTCGGACTTGCATAAGTTCCACAGATCAATTATTTAGCAGGAGGGATCACCGCGATCCACGAGGGCTTCCTGCATGGTCCTCGAATGCATCTAACCCAGGCTACAATCTATCACAGGACTTGCTCGGGTTGGAAGCTCGAGGGCATCGGCCCGGATCTCCGACGAACTGTGTTATCTTATCTCTGTGCCAAGCCAATTGGCAGCATTCCGTTTCTCGCGGAACCTCGGTCTTCATCAACGTTGATCACCTTCAACGCGCACGTTCTTCCGAGGCTCTGGGACTGTAAAAACCAAATGCATTCTGGTCCAAATATTCGATGACTAGCATTCAAAAGAACACTCCGCACTACGTCCAGATCTCTGTGCTCTGTTCGCTCCCTCGAAGCATTGGCACGCCGTCCCTCCCTTGTTATTGGTTGCAGCGAAAGGAGAATGGTTGAACTTGCGCTGCTGTGATTCTTCCGCCATTTATCCACTGTAGGAAGCTACTCCAATGGATTAGAGAATTTATTCTTTGGGCTGTCTTCTGAATTATACTCACTCAACATGATGCTAGCAACCTACTCAAGCCTTTGTGGATCGTGGTGATCATTCCTGCTCAATAATGTTTGGATTATCTTCCCCTGAGGAGAGGGGGTTCGCATCCTCCCAAGGGCATACTAGGTGGGAAAGTTACTCATTTTCTTTTTGTCCCTTGCACCTTCTGGCGGGAAGCAAAATATTATTTGCTGGCAAAGAGAGGGTCGAGCTCATTGACACGAATCTCCAGCCATTTATTCCAATTAATCGTGGGAAGCTACTCCAATCAATTGGAGAATTTATTCTCCGAATTATACTCACTCGAAATGATGCTAGAAACTAGATGTTTCAAGCCCTCGTAGATCGTGGTGATCACTCCTGCCCAATACAAGTTTGAAGAATCTACAGCCGAGGAGAGGAGGTTCGAATCCTTCCAAGGGCATACACTGGCATTCACGGGTTACCAGTTTATTTCGTCCTTTTTTTTTCTTCTTTCCGTTAAGATCGAGTGAGTTTCTAAAAAATGCCACCATCCACAGCACCATGGTTGCGTCGCAGACTCGCAGCTGTCTACCAAGCGCACCCCAATCCTGCCTTCTCATTTCACAGTGAATCAAGCAGTTTAAACTTCGCGGCACCTGTTTTCAAAGCCACCACCTGGCTGGGCTCACTGTGGAAATAAAACACAATTGCGGCCAACCTATGACCTCGGGAGGATTTGAACCTTCGCCTCTCCTCATATTTTCTAGAAGAATTGAGTATTGACTGGGAGTGATTAACACGATCCACGAGGGCTTCCTCTATCTTTTCCTGCTCCCACGTTGAGTGAGTCTAATTCACACTACGTCCTTGCGTGTCAACTATAAATTGTAATACTCGCGGAGATATGAGAGTATTAGGGATTTCAACCAGACTGTGAATCAAGCAGGAGGATTCGAACCTTCGTCTCTTCCCAGAACAATGGAAGACGCAAGTATGATGTAGGAGCGATCACCACGATCCACAAGGGCTTTCTCTCTCTGTTCTTAGCCTGAACTTGAATCAATCAATCGGGACTGTAGGATGCCAACTGCAACACAAAATCTGCACTAAGAGCGAGACTCAGGGATGTTGAATAATTCAATCAGACCGTGAATTCGACCTTGTTTAAAGTTACAGACCTGGCATCGGGGGTTCACCACCTTCCCGGTGCGGAGGAAATAAAAAGTTATCCATGCAAGCACCATACCCTCGGGAGGATTCGAACCTCCGCCTCTCCCGAAATCTTCAGCATCAATGGAATGCAACAAGAGCGATCACCGCGATCCACGAAGGCTTCCTCCACCTCTTCCGGCCCCCATGCCGAGTGAATCAACCCAGATTCTAGAATGCATCCTTGAACATCAACGATAACACTCACGAGATTTGAACATATTTAAAATTTCACCTAGAACCACTTCGAAGAACCAGTTTTCAAAAGCTAACACTTGCCAGGGCCCAGGGCCATTGTCCAAAAAAAAAAAAAGTCATAATATTTCTATGCCCCCGGGAGGAATCGAACCTCCGCATCTCCTCGAATTTGAGTGGCATACGGGTATTCAGCAGGAGCGATCACCACGATCCACGAGGGCTTTCTCTCTCTGTTCTTAGGTTGAATTTGAATGAATCAATTCTGAGCTGTGGAGGGCGACAATGGGAATACAAGGTATAAGTGAATGGCCCGAGAATCGCTCTAGTATTGGATATTAGATTCTCACCAAATGCCGAGTCAAGTAGATTGAACTTCGACGGCCCTGTGAAAAAAAAGAAATTCAAGTTGCGGGAACAGAATGCCCCCGGGAGGATTCGAACCTCCGCCTCTCCCCAAATTATTATTTGCTTACGGCTCATTGAGTAGGAGGGATTACCACGATCTACGAGGGTTTTCTGACCCTGTTCCTAGCTTGAACTTGAGAGTAAATTTAATTGATATTGATTCCAGATTATAGAGAGCAGCCATTGGGATATGAATGCGTAGCTAGAGAGTCCGAAATATTGACCAGTTCAACTTGAATAAATTTGACAGAGCGGGATGGAGGGAGCTGTCGGCGGAGAAAAAAAAAAGACAGAAAGCCGTTGTTGTAATGACCTCGGGAGGATTCGAACCTCCGCCTCTCCTCGGATTTGAATTGCATCGACCACAGATCAATTATTTAGCAGGAGGGATCACCACGATCCACGAGGGCTTTTTCTCTCTGTTCTTAGGTTGAACTTGAATGAATCAATTCTGAACTGTGGAGGACGACAATGGGAATACAAAATCTGCATAGCCATAAAACCGCTCTAGTGTTAGAGATCTTAGACTCTCACCAGATGCCGAGTCGAGTAGATTAAACATCCATGACCCTGGGTCGCCCACTGTCAAAAAAAAAAAAAAAAACACTGGAACTGTAGCCGCATGCCCCCAGGAGGGTTCGAACCTCTGCCTCTCCCCAAATTATCATTTGCCTACCGCTCATTGAGTAGGAGGGATCACCACGATCCACGAGGGCTTTCTCTCCGTTCTTAGCCTGAACTTGAGAGCTAATTTAATTTGATTGACATTGAATCCAGATTATAGAGAGCGGTCATTGACATGTGAATGGGCAGCTAGAGAATCAGAGATATTGACCAGTTCAACTTGAATAAATTTTACAGAGCGGGATGGGGACCGTTGGCAGAGAAAGAAAAAAAGAAAGCCATTCCGAATGACCTCGGGAGGATTCGAACCTCCATCTCTCCTCGGATTTGAATTGCATCGCCATAGATCAATTATTTAGCAGGAGGGATCGCCACGATCCACGAGGGCTTTCTCTCTCTGTTCTTAACTTGAGCTTGAGGGAGCTTAATTGATGAAGAATCCAGATCATATAGAACAGCCATTGACATATGAATAGAGAACCAGAGAATCCGAAATATTGACCAGTTCAACTTGAATAAATTTTACAGAGCGGGATGGAGGGAGCTGTCGGCGGAGAAAAAAAGACATTAAACCGTTCCTGTAATGACCTCGGGAGGATTCGAACCTCCGTCTCTCCCAGAACCATTGAAAGCACACATGTATGAAGTAGGGGCGATCGTCACGCTCCACGAGGGCTTTCTCTCCCTATTCCTAGCTTGAACTTGATTGAATCTGAACTGCAGATGACGACAACGGCAACACGAAATCTGCATAGCCATAAAACCGCGCTAGTATTAGATTTTGGACTCTCACCAGAAGCTGAATAAAGTAGATTGAACTTCGACAGCCCTGGGGTTATGACTTTCCCACTGTGAAAAAAAGAAATTCAAGTTCGGAGAAACGTATGTTCCCGGGAGGATTCGAACCTCCACTTCTCCCATCAGATTCTCAACTGAATGCTTTAATGGATATTGAGTGGAAGGGATCACCAAGATCCACAAGGGCTTCTTCCACCTCTTCCTTCCCTCATGTTGAGTGAATCTAATTCACTGCATCCTTGAGAATAACAACCAGTCAAGGTGGAATGAAAACCGTCACCAGAGAATCAAGCTTAAGGATATTGACCAGTTGACTTGAATTCAAATTCACAGAGCGGGATGTCAACGGAGGAAAAAAAAAGGGGTGGACAGGCCATGCCCTCGGGAGGATTCGAACCTCCGCCTCTCCTTAAACATTATATCCTTACCGGCGATAAAGTAGGAGGGATCACCACGATCCACGAGGGCTTCCTGGCTTGTCCTCGAATACATCTAACCTACACTGCGATCTATTAGAGGACTTACCGGGGACTGGAACGGAGACAAGCTCGAGGGCATCGGCCCGGATCTCCGATCTCCTGCATTATCTTATCTCTGTGCCAAGCCAATTGGCAGCTGCCCGTTTCTCGCGGAACCGGTCTTCATCAACGTCGATCACCAAGCGCACGTTCTTCCGAGGCTCTGGGACTGTACAAACCAAATGCATCTGGTCCAATATTCGATGATTAGTATTCGAAAGAGGACCGCTCCGCACTACGTCCAGATCTCTGACAGTAGCACGACACGGTGATAAAACGAATGTGGAACGCTGCTGCGTAATGCTTCCATGAATCCATCCGTGCTCGACGCTAATCAACTACTTCCATTCTCGTGCACAAATACCTCCAGTTCCGGGCGAGGGGTGCCGTCTCAGTGCTTCCCCTGTGCTCTGTCCGGCCCCCTCGATGCACCCTCCCTTGTGGTTGGCGGGGCGGCGGCGGCGGCTCTCCATTCTCCCGCACACGCGGCGCCGGCACCCGCCAGCCAGAGTTCTACGACCCACGGATCCTGGGCGGGGAGATGCTCAATAACGGTGCGTCCCACTCTTGTGTATCTGACTAATAGTAACAACGAAACGACGCAGCGAGTCGACACGGCGGCGAGCCCCTCAACGTGATCATCTCCAGGCGCAGCACGCCCTCCGTCCTCACCGACGCCGGCTTCCTCGGCTATGCCGGCGCACTCGGATTGTCCGTCCCACTCCTTTCTTCCTTGTTGTCCCGCGCAGTTTCTAACTTTGTCAATGTCATGTAGCGCAGACGAGTGCCTGGGGTTCCACATCGGCGACCGGCAGCCCGCGAATCTGGGGGATGGGCATGGGTGGGTGGACGAGGGGATGGTGTTGAGGGAAGACTTTGGGTCGGCGGCGATAGGGACGTGTTGGGAGAGTGTTGTTGGTGCGTCTGTGTCTCTTTGCTTTATGTCTTCCCTTCCCTTCTCTTTGCCCTTTCCCTTTTCTGTGCTTCTCCTGAGGAAGACTACTTTACTTACGGACAAATACACACAGGCGGGAACCATCTCCGGTACCTACATCCCTCCTCCTCGCAAATCATAATAGCGGCTGCTGACCCAGGCTGCGCCACAGGATGTACCGCCAAAACGGCCCCGCCGCCAACTCCGGCGCGCTCTTCCTCGCGGTGTCGCATGAGAGGGTGTGTCTTCCCTCCCTCTTCCCTCCCTCCCCTCCCTTGGCCTTGATCTCGTCCTCGACCACCCTTGTCCTCGTTCTTCTCTCCTTTCTCCCTCGTCCGCTTCCTACCACCCCCATGCTCGAGCCCTAAGCTACAGTACTGACCCACCCCTCCCAGAACTTCCTCACGCACCACACCATCTCACCCGACGGGTACAACCTCGGGCGCGACCTCCTCGTCGCGCGCGCCACCACCACGCGCACCGTATTCAAGGGCGTGCGCTATGCCACGAGTGTACGGAGGCTGGAGGGGCTGTTGGGGGTTGGGAAGGGGGGGTGCGTGGTTTTTTCTTTTTGGCTATTATTCGTTCCTTTTAACCCTGCACTCGTTCCCTTAATTCTCCACTTGTTCATTCGGGCGTCCATGATTCCTTTTCGTCACAACACAACGACGATGGCGAGTCTGACGAGCTGGGTGTGACGCGGGGACGAGTGACGTGTGCCGAGACAACGAGTGCGAGTGCGAGACGGGTCCGAGTCTGACGCGCGGACGAGGACGAGGATGAATCCCCTCCTTCCCTCCTCCCCTCCTCCCCTCCTCCTATTATATCCCTCCAAATCTCCAGCTGATCAGTGATATAGGATCAATCACAGTGCGTATCGCTTTTCTTATCTTCCTCCCTTCCCTCTTGGCTCCTTCCTCGCACCTCCTCGCACCTCGCTCCCTCCTTCCGTCCTCTTCCTCCATCCTCGTTCCACCTCCTCCGTGCACCTCGCAAGCTCCGAGCTTCGATTCCCTCCTCTTTCCTCCTTCCCTCCTCGCACCTTCTTCGTTCCTCGCCCCTCCATCCTCCATCCTCGTCCCACCTGGCCCCTCCTTCCCTCCTCGCGAGCTCCGAGTTTCGAATTCCGATACCCAACATGTTGGCCAGTTGGGCGGGGTGCGTCCGACTACGACAGCAACGGCAACGGCGACTCTGCGATCCGAGCGGACTCTGGTGGGCGAGGCGAGGCGCGGACTCTGGGGCCGACTCTCGCGCGCGTCCCGGGGCACTGAGGTGCCGGGTTCGGAGCGCGCGTACTGGGTGCTGGGTGCTGCGTCCAGCTCGCTCTCTGCCCCCTCTGCTGGGTGAGGCGAGGGGCTGACCCTACCGAGCGAGCCGCAATCTCCCGCCATTTATTTACTGTAGGCTACTCCAATTGATTGGATAATTTATAATTATTCTCCCGCCTGTCCTCTGAATTTTCGTTTGGTCTCCATCTGACATGAGGGCGGGTTCGAATCCTCAAAGGGCATGTTGGTTGAAAGTATTTTTTTTTTTTGCTATCCTGCAATTAATTCAACATTTTATTCTCCAGCCTGTCTTCTGAATTATTTTCACTCAATGATGTTAGAAACCAACTGCTCAAGCCCTTGAAGATCGTGGTGATCACTCCTGCTCAATAGATGTTGAACCCTGAATTAGAGGAGAGGCGGGGAGGGGGGGTTCGAATCCTCCCGAGGGCATGAGGCAAAGTAGAACCTTTTTCTTCTTTTGTTCTTGCATCCTCCGGTGGGAAGCAGCCAGTTTTGTTGGCGGGAAAACGGAATGAGTGAGCTCGTGGACTCGAATCTCCGGCCTTTACTCCAATTGATTGGATAATTTATTCACTCAAGTCTTCTGAATGGAATTTACCCAAGACAATGCTAGAAACTAAGTGCTGAAAGCCCTCGTGGATCGTGGCGATCACTCTGGCTCAATATTTTTTGGATTATCTTCATCTGAGGAGAGAGGGTTCAAATCCTCCAGGGCATACATTCATGGAAAACCAGTTTTGTTTCTTCCTTTTTTCTTTCCGCTGAGATCAAGTGAGTTTCTGAAAAAGCCACCACATCATGTTTGCGTCGCAGCCATAACACACGCCAATAGGCTTTTTTCAAAGCTACCATCTGGCTGGGCTCACTGTGGACAAAAAAGTCAGTCGAACCTGCATGCCCTCGGGAGGATTCGAACCTCCACCTCTCCTAATACTAACCAACGATGGACATCAAATGTAACAGAATATATCACCAAGATCCACGAGGGCTTCCAGTCCGGTTCCTACATAGCTTGAACCTAAGGTGAAATTAATTTACACCGTACTAGAGTGTATTTGCTATGAAGGTCCTTACTGGACAAAAGGACTTTTTTCTCATTGTTGTCGGCGATTTGAACGAGATCTTGCAAGATCTTTCAATTTCTGTCAAGATCTTTCAAGATTTTGCCACTTTTGCGAGATCTTGAGAGATCTTGCAAGTTCTTCAAAGATCTGACTTTTCTTTGTTGTCGCATTGCATGACATCTTTGAAGATCTTTGGAGATCTCATCGATTAATGTTCTTGCAAGATCTCCGGAGATCTTTCAATATCTCCCAAGAATTAAAGTAGAATTTTTCAGTCTTGGTTTTTACCGACATCTTGCAAGATCTTGGATGAGACATTTTTCCCTCTGCGGCCTGCTCTGGCAAGCGCCCCAGGCGCATCAACAACCCTCCGATCGGAACAATCCGAGCCGATGCACATCAAGGGAATCAAAAGCCATGATTTTGTGCAACTTGTCCCCAACCCATCTCCACACATCTAGACTAGTCCCCACCATATCTAGTCATGTCTAGACCATTACTCTTCAAAATCCTTCACCCCTATTTCCCTATCATGGGTTTCTGGGCTTCTATTGCCCTTCAGCCCACCCTGAGCCATCGATACTGTTCTTCGGGCTCTCCCAGCCTTCGGTGCCATGTCAATCGCTCCCAGTCCGATACCGATATTTGAATTAGGAAATGTCAGCCTAGAAAATTCAGGTATGTCTCAACACAAACTCCTCACAACGGTAAAATGCCAACGACAGAGTTAGTAAACTTGAGCACACAAATGGAGTGCAGCACTCGCTCGCCGTTTTGGTTATATAGGACGCTCGATTACAGTCAATATTCTCCCATGACTGAGTCGTAAGACCTCGTAAGACACTTGGACTCGGGCACTCCAAATTCTGCCCATTTATGTCTGCGAGGGATAGCCCTGAACTGGTCTGCCAGTAGGAAAGCCCTAAGTTCAAGTTTAACTCTGGATTGATACATCAACATCGGCTCATGACTGATCCAGACATCGATGCGCTTGATGTCCGTGGCCGGCCGGTGTAATCAGTTGAAAGATCTTTAAAGACCTCAATATTTGCACTGCATGGCAGGTTTGTTCGACAGCTCAATTTTCACCTAACATCTCTCAAGATCTTCTCCACAAATGCCCCCAAAACGAGATCAAACAGATCAAATTATGCTTCTCTTGCAAGATCTCGCGAGATCTTGAAGATCTTGAAAGATCTTGCAAGATGTGAGAAATTGCATCTCTTCTTGCAATTTCTCCACATTTCTTCAAATATCTCGAGAAAACGGGCCACTGCATTGCATAAATCTGAGATTTGTCCAGTAAGGACCCTCAAAATTTGCAGTCAAAAAATCGTGAAATCACAAAAAATGATAAGCGAGTTTCCTTGAAGAAATTGATAGAAACGCAGACGTCATTCTCACGAAACCAACCATTGACTTTTACACCCACCATGACGTTCCCAGGTGTGAGGATTCAAGAAATGCACGCTGCGAGATGAGCAGCGGACGACGCGTCGAAAAAACGCGGCTTCACAAGGCACGGGGAGTGGCTGAAAAGTAACATCGTCCCAAAACGGTCGACATCTCAAAAAATTCACACTTGGAGCTCAAGTCTTTTCAAAAAATCCTAAGCGCGTTTCATTTTTTAAAAAAGTCGATTTTTGGGGCTGCAAATACACACTACGATAAATATAGCGAGACTCAAGGGTGTCGAAACATTCAATCAGATCTTGTTTCAAGTTTACAGCCCTGGCGTCGTGGTAAGCCCTTTCGCGGTGCGGAGGAAAATAAAAGATTATTCACGTCAAGCCACACATGCACTGGGGAGGATTCGAACCTCTATCTCTCCTCAGACCAGATTCCTCGTGCATCAAGCAGGAGGGATCACCACGATCTACAGGGGCTTTCTGTCTCTGTGCTTAGCTTGGACTTGAGTGAGTTTAATCCGAGTTATAGCACAACCATTAACAATGGTGGCCAGAGCCTAAGAATCATAGATAATAAACGTTTCTTGAGCGGAATTTACATTCCACAGCGCGGGATGGGGGCCGTTGGCAGAAAAAAAAAGGTCAGATACACCGATTATGCCCCCGGGAGGATTCGAACCCCCCGCCTCTCCTTGGACTTGAATGGCGTTGAACATTGCACATATACATAGCAGGAGGGATCACCACGATCCACGAGGGCTTCCTCCAACTCTTCCTTCCCTCATATTGTCTGAATATAATTCACACTGTATCCAGATTATAGAGAGCAGCCATTGACATATGAATGGGTAGCTAGAGGATCAGGGATATTAAACAGCTCAGCAATCGTGAATTTAATTTCACAGAGGGGGAGGGGGCAGATACACCAGATGCCCACGGGAGAATTTGAACCTCCACCTCTCCCCGGACTTGAATTGCATTGACCACAGTTTGGTTATTTGGCAGGGGGGATCACCACGATCTACGAGGGCTTTCTGTCCCTATTCCTACCTCAAACTTGAACTGCAGATGACGACAACGGCAACACAAAATAAATGCATAGCCATAAAATCGCGCTAGTGTTAGATATTAGATTCTCACCAAATACCGAATCAAGTAGATTGAACTTCGACGGCCCTGGGGTTACGACTTTCCCACTGTGAAAAAAAAGACATTCAAGTCAGAAGAAATGTATGCCCTCGGGAGGATTCGAACCTCTGCCTCTCCCTTAAGAAACTGCTGGAATGCATCTCCAATATCGAGTGGGAGGGATCACCAAGATCCACGAGGGGTTCCTCCATCTCTTCCTTCCTTCATATTGTCTGAATATGATTCACGCTGTATCCTTGAGAATAATAACCACATTCAAGGTGGAATGCCTTCGTGCCTGAGAATCACAGTTCAACTTGAATTTAAATTTCGCGAAGGGGGATGGACGTTCGGTGGAGGAGAGAAAAAAGTTGACCTTTATCGGATACCCCATGCCCGCAGGAGGATTCGAACCTCCGCCTCTCCCGAAATCTTCAGCATCAGTGGAATGCAACAAGAGCGATCACCAAGATCCACGAGGGCTTTCTCTCTCCGGTCTTAGCTTGAACTTGAATCAATCAATCGGAACTGTGGAGGATGCCAACTCGAACACAAAATCTGCACTAAGAGCGCAACTCAAGGATGTTGAATAATTCAATCAGACCGAATCAGACCTTGTTTCTAATTTATAGACCTGGCATCAGGGCTCATCATTTTCCCGATGCGGAGGAAATAAAAAGTCCTTCACACAAGCCACATGCCCTCGGGAGGATTCGAACCTCCGCCTCTCCCTAAGATCATTAGCTGAATGCCACAATGGATATTGAGTAGGAGGGATCACCCCGATCCACGAGGGCTTTCTGTCCCTGTGAGTCCTAGCTTGAACTTCACTGAATCTAACTCGCTTAGACTGCAGGCCGGAAAACGTGAACCACATTCAAAGTCGAATGACCTCCACTGCCGGAGAATCACTTGGCAAGCATGTTGACTTCAACTTAAATTTCGCGGAGGGGGATGAGGCGTCGGCGGAGGAGAGAAAAAAAATGGTGTTGTTGATATCATGCCAATGCATGACCCCGGGAGGATTCGAACCTCCGTCTCTCCCCAAATAATTATCTGTCTACGCCTCATTGAGTAGGAGGGATCACCACGATCCACGAGAGCTTTCTCTCTCTGCTCTTAGGTTAAACATGAATGAATCAATTCTGAACTGTGGAGGACGACAATGGGAATACAAGGTATAAGTGAATGGCCCGAGAATCGTTCTAGTATTGGATATTAGACTCTCACCAAATGCCGAGTAAGTAGATTAAACATCCATGACCCTGGGTCGCCCACTGTCAGCAAAAAAAAAAAGCATTGGACTGGGACGACATGCCCCCGGGAGGATTCGAACCTCCGCCCCTCCCCAAATTATTATTTGCCTGGCTCAAATCGCATTGAGTAGGAGGGATCCCCGCGATCTACTGAGACTTTCTGTTGCTGTTCTTAACTTGAACTTGAGAGTAAATTTAATTGACTTTGAATCCAGAACATATAGAACAGCCATTGAGATATGAATGGATAGCTAGAGAATCAGAGATATTGACCAGTTCAACTTGAATAAATTTCGCAGAGCGGGATGGAGGGAGCTGTCAGAGAAAGAAAAAAAGAAAGCCATTCCTAATGACCTCGAGAGGATTCGAACCTCCATCTCTCCTCAGATTTGAATTGCATCGACCACAGATCAATTATTTAGCAGGAGGGATCACCACGATCTACGAGGGCTTTCTCTATCCCTTTCGCTCCCTCATGTCGAGTGAATCAATCCAGATTCTAAAATGCATCCTTGAATATCAACGATAAATTAAAACACTTATGGAGATTTCAGGATATTGGAAATTTCGACCAGACCGTGAATTCGACCTTGTTTAAATTTACAGACCTGGTGTCATGGGATTACCACTTTCCCGGTGCGGAGGAAAATAAAAGACCATTACTTTCAAGTGACCATGCACTCGGGAGGAGTCGAACCTCCGCTTCTCCCATCAGATTCTCAACTGGATGCTTCAATGGATATTGAGTGGGAGCGATCACCGAGATTCACGAGGGCTTCCTCCACCTTTTCCTTCCTCATGTTGACTGAATCTAATACTGGTAGAAACCCATTGAGTAGGAGGGATCCACAATCCACGAGGGCTTTCTTTCTCTGTTCTTAGCTTGAACTTGAGAGTAAATTTAATTGAGATTGAATCCGAGTCATAGAACAACAATTTCAACTTGGATTTAAATTTCATAGGAATCGGATTCAGAGCGAAACTTGAAAAATTCAATCAGAGCTTGTTTCAGACCTGGCCTCAGGGGTTCACCACCTTCCCGGTGCGGAGGAAATAAAAAGTTATCCATGCAAGCACCATGCCCTCGGGAAGATTCGAACCTCCGCCTCTCCTGAAATCTTCAGCATCAATGGAATGCAACAGGAGTAATCGCCGTGATCCATGAGGGCTTCCTCCACCTCTTCCGGCCCCATGTTGAGTTGATCCACCCAGATTCTAAAATGCGTCCTTTGAACATCAACGATAACATTCACGAGATTTGAATATATTTAAAATTTCACCCAGAAGCACTTCGAAGAACCAGTTTTCAAAAGCTAACAGTTGCCAGGGCCCAGGGCCATTGCCCCCCCCAAAAAAATCATAATATTTCTATGCCCAGAAGAGCCTTTTCTCCTACCATCACCACATCTTTGTCAAAATGCCCGCGATCCACGAGGGCTCCCTCCACCTCTTCCGGCCCCCATGCCGAGTGAATCAACCCAGATTCTAGAACGCATCCTTGAACATCAACGATAACACTCACGAGATTTGAACATATTTAAAATTTCACCTAGAACCACTTCGAAGAACTAGTTTTCAAAAGCTAACACTTGCCAGGGCCCAGGGCCATTGTCCAAAAAAAAAAAAGTCATAATATTTCTATGCCCCCGGGAGGAATCGAACCTCCGCATCTCCTCGAATTCGAGTGGCATAGGGATATTTAGCAGGAGCGATCACCACAATCCATGAGGGCTTTCTCTCTCTGTTCTTAGCTCGAACTTGAGAGTAAATTTAATTTACATTGAATCCAGATTATAGAGAGCAGCCATTGAGATATGAATGGGTAGCTAGAGAATCAGAGATATTGACCAGTTCAACTTGAATAAATCTTACAGAGCGGGATGGAGGGAGCTGTTGGCGGAGAAAAAAAGACCGAAGACCATTCCGATAATGACCTCGGGAGGATTCGAACCTCCATCTCTCCTTGGATCTACCTTACACCATATATATAGCAGGAGGGATCACCGCGATCTACGAAGGCTTTCTGTCCCTGTTCCTAACTTGAAGCTGACTGAATCTGAACTGCAGATGACGACAATGGCAACACAAAATAAATGCATAGCCATAAAATTGCTCTAGTATTTGATCTTAGACTCTCACCAGATGCTGAATCAAGTAGATCAAACTTCGACGGCCCTGGGGTTTCGACTTTCCCACTGTGAAAAAAAGAAATTCAAGTCTGGAGAACATATGACCCCGGGAGGATTCGAACCTCCGCTTCTCCCACCAGATTCTCAATCGAATGCTTTAGTGGATATTGAGTGGGTGGATCACCAAGATCCACGAGGGCTTCCTCCACCTCTTCCTTCCCTCATGTTGAGTGAATCTAATTCACACTGCATCCTTGAGAATAACAATAAGATGTACTGAACTATCGCCAGAGAATCAAGCATATTGACCAGTTAACTTGAATTCAAATTCACAGAGCCGGATGGAGGGAACCGTCAGCGGAGGAGGAAAAAAACACAGGGTGGATGGTGCATGCCCTCGGGAGGATTCGAACCTCCGCCTCTCCCTAAGATCATTAATTGAATACTACAATATTGAGTAGGAGCGATCACCGCGATCTACGAAGGCTTTCTGTCCCTGTTCCTAACTTGAAGCTGACTGAATCTAACTCGCTTAGACTGCAGGCCAGAAAACGTGAACCACATTCAAAGTGGAATGACAGGCTCCATCGCCGGGGAATCACTTAGCAAGCATGTTGACCAGTTCAACTTAAATTTCGCGGAGGGGGATGAGGCGTCGGCGGAGGAGAGAAAAAAGAATTGTGTTGTATATGTCATGATGCATGACCCCGGGAGGATTCGAACCTCCGTATCTCCTCGAATTTGAGTGGCATAGGGATATTTAGCAGGAGCGATCACCACGATCCACGAGGACTTTCTCTCTCTGTTCTTAGGTTGAACATGAATGAATCAATTCTGAACTCTGGAGAACGACAATAGCAACACAAAATCTGCATAGCCATAAAACCGCGCTAGTGTTAGAGATCTTAGACTCTCACCCAATGCCGAGTCAAGTAGATTGAACATCCATGACCCTGGGTTGCCCACTGTCAAACAAAAAAAAACACTGGAACTGTAGCCATAAGCCCCCGGGAGGATTGGAACCTCCGCCTCTCCCCAAATTATCAATTGCCTACCGCTCATTGAGTAGGAGGGATTGCCACGATCTACGAGGGCTTTCTGGCCCTGTTCTTAGCTTGAACTTGAGGAAATTTAATTGACATTGAATCCGAGTCATAGAACAACCAGTTCAACTTGGATTTAAATTTCATAGGAATCGGATTCAGAGTGAGACTTGAAAAATTCAATCAGATCTTGTTTCAGATTTACGGACCTGGCGTCGGGGGCTTACAACTTTCCCGTGCGGAGGAAATAAAAGTCCTTCCCCAAGCCCATACCCTCGGGAGGATTCGAACCTCCGCCTCTCCCTAAGATCACCAACTGTATACTACAATATTGAGTGGGAGGGATCACCGCGATCTACGAAGGCTTTCTGTCCCTGTTCCTAACTTGAAGCTGACTGAATCTGAACTGCAGATGACGACAATGGCAACACAAAATAAATGCATAGCCATAAAATTGCTCTAGTATTTGATCTTAGACTCTCACCAGATGCCGAGTCAAGTAGATTAAACATCAATGACCCTGGGTCGCCCACTGTCAAAAAAAAACAAAACAAAACAAAAAAGAGTTGGACGGAACCACATGCCCCCGGGAGGATTCGAACCCCCAAATTATCATTTGTCTACACGTTATTGAGTAGGAGGGATCACCACGATCCACGAGGGCTTTCTCTCTGTTCTTAACTTCAACTTGAGAGTAAATTTAATTGACATTGAATTCAGATTATAGAGAGCAACCATTGGCATATGAATCGGTAGCTAGAGAATCCGAGATATTGACCAGTTCAACTTGAATAAATTTTACAGAGCGGGATGGAGAGAGCTGTCGGCGGAGAAAAAAAAGACAGAGAACCGGTTTTATAATGACCTCGGAAGGATTCAAACCTCCGTCTCTCCCAGAACGGTTGAAAGAGCACAAGTATGAAGTAGGAGCGATCACCACGATCTACGAGGGCTTTCTGTCTCTGTTCTTTCCCTCATGTTGAGTTAATCTAATTTAATTTCTGTTTAATCCAGAGAGCAGCCATTGTCATATGAATCGGTAGCTAGAGAATCCGAGATATTGACCAGTTCAACTTGAATAAATTTTACAGAGCGGGATGGAGAGAGCTGTCGGCGGAGAAAAAAAAGACAGAGAACCGGTTTTATAATGACCTCGGAAGGATTCGAACCTCCGTCTCTCCCAGAACGGTTGAAAATCACAGTAATACATAGCAGGAGTGATCGCCACGATCCACGAGGGCTTCCTCCATCTGTTCTTTCCCTCATGTTGAGTTAATCTAATTTAATTTCCAGAGAGCAGCCATTGAGATATGAATGGATAGTCAGAGACTCAGAGATATTGACCGTTCAACTTGAATAAATTTTACAGAGCGGGATGGAGGGAGCTGTTGGCGGAGAAAAAAAGACAGAAAACTGGTCCTATAATGACCTCGGGAGGATTCAACCTCCGCCTCTCCCTAAGATCATTAATTGAATACTACAATATTGAGTGGGAGGGATCACCGCGATCTACGAAGGCTTTCTGTCCCTGTTCCCAACTTGAACTTGACTGAATCTAACTCGCTTAGACTGCAGGCCAGAAAACGTGAACCACATTCGTGTAATGACCTCTATCCCCGGAGAATCATTTGGCAAGCGTGTTGACCAGTTCAACTTAAGTTTCGCGGATGGGGATGAGGCGTCGGCGGAGGAGAGAAAAAAAAATAGGGTGGATGGTGGCCCATGCCCTCGGGAGGATTCGAACCTCCGCCTCTCCCCAAATTCTTATTCACATACGGCAAAGATTCATTGAGTAGGAGCGATCACCACAATCCACGAGGGCTTTTTCTCTCTGTTCTTAGGTTGAACTTGAATGAATCAATTCTGAACTGTGGAGGACGACAATGGGAATACAAGGTATAAGTGAATGGCCCGAGAATCGTTCTAGTATTGGATATTAGACTCTCACCAAATGCCGAGTAAGTAGATTAAACATCCATGACCCTGGATCGCCCACTGTCAACAAAAAAAAAAAGAATTGGACTGGAACGACATGCCCCCGGGAAGATTCGAACCTCCGCCTCTCCCCAAATTATTATTTGCTTACGGCTCATTGAGTAGGAGGGATTACCACGATCCACGAGGGCTTTTTCTCTCTGTTCTTAGCTTGAACTTGAACTTGAACTTGAACTGGAGAGTAAATTTAATTTGATTGACATTGAATTCAGATTAGCCATTCAGATATGAATGGATAGCTAGAGAATCCGAGATGTTGACCAGTTCAACTGGAATTTAAATTTGACAGACCGTGGGCGGAGAAAAAAACAAGGCACATAGATCATGCCCCCAGGAGGATTCGAACCTCCGCCTCCCATGAGATCCTCAGGATAATGCAGGGATGCGAATCAGACCTTGTTTCTAATTTATAGACCTGGAATCAGGGGCTCATCATTTTCCCGATGCGGAGGAAATAAAAAGTCCTTCACGCAAGCCACATGCCCCCGGGAGGATTCGAACCTCCACCTCTCCCTTTAGATCATTAAGTGAATGCTACAATATTGGGTGGGAGGGATCACTGCGATCTACGAAGGCTTTCTGTCCCTGTTCCTAACTTGAAGCTGACTGAATCTAACTCGCTTAGACTGCAGGCCAGAAAACGTGAACCACATTCGTGTAATGACCTCTATCGCCGGAGAATCACTTGGCAAGCGTGTTGACCAGTTCAACTTAAGTTTCGCGGAGGGGGATGAGGCGTCGGCGGAGGAGAGAAAAAAAAATTGTGTGGTCTATGTAATGATGCATGACCCCGGGAGGATTCGAACCTCCGCCTCTCCCCAAATTCTTATTTGCCAATAGCAGATATTCCATTGAGTAGGAGGGATCACCACGATCCACAAGGGCTTTTTCTCTCTGTTCTTAGGTTGAACTTGAATCAATCAATTCTGAACTGTGGATGATGGCAATGGCAACACAAAATAAATGCATAGCCATAAAATCCCTCTAAAATCCCTCTAGTATTAGATATTAGACTCTCACCGAATGCCGAATCAAGTAGATTAAACATCCATGACCCTGGGTCGCCCACTGTCAAAAGAAAAAAAACACTGGAACTGTAGCCATAAGCCCCCGGGAGGATTCGAACCTCCGCCTCTCCTGAAATCATATCACTCAGTCGATATGCAACAGGAGCGATCACCACGATCTACGAGGGCTTGTTCTTAGCTTGAACTTGAGTGAATTTAATTCACATTGAATGCTGGAACAACGATTGACAATAGATAGGAATCAGAGGTATCAGCGTTTTAACGAACTCGAGAATTGGAATCTTCCAGAGGGGTATGGACCGTTGACGGAGAAAAACGACTGATGACTGCATCACGACCCCAGGAGGATTCAAACCTCCGATCTCCCATAAGATCCTTACTGGCAAATGCTTCAATATAAATATCGATGAGTGGGAGCAATTACCATGATCCATGAGGGCTTTATGGCCCTGTTCATAGCTTGAACTTGAGGGAATTCAATTCACACTGTGTCCTAGAGCATAACAATAACTATAACTTGCAATAGGTTACCATTAGGGACCTTAAGGATATTGAACTCTTCGTGAATTCAACATGGACAAAATACCGCAGATCTGCTTCGCCATTCCCGGATGTAAAAAAATGGAATCGATAATGTGCATTATGCCCTCGGGAGGATTCGAACCCCCTCTTCTCCCATAAGAAGATCAGCTGAAGGCCTATTGAGTGGGAGGGATCGTCACGATCCACGAGGGCTTTCTCTATCTCTTTCTTTCCCCATGTTGTGAGAATAAATTCACACTGCATCCTTGAGAATAACAACCACATTCAAGTTGGAATGAACCCCGTTGCCGGAGAATCAAGGATATTGAACAGTCCAACTTGAATTAAAGTTCCTAGTGGTGACTGTCAAAGAAGAAAAAAAGCTTGGTTACCAACTACCTACTATGCCCTCGGGAGGATTCGAACCTCCGCCTCTCCCGAAATCTGCAGCAGAATGAACAGGAGCGATCACCACGATCCACGAGGGCTTCCTTGAATGCATCTAACCTAGGCTACAATCTATCACAGGACTTGCTGGGGGTTGGAACGGAACCGACCTAGCATCGGCCCGGATCTCCGATCTCCTGTATTATCTTATCTCTGTGCCAAGCCAATTGGCAGTTGCCCGTTTCTCGCGGAACCCCGGTTCTTCATCAACGTCGATCACCTTCAACGCGCACGTTCTTCCGAGGCTCTGGGCCCGTACAAACCAAATGCAATCTGGTCCACATATTCGATGACTAGCATTCAAAAGAAGATTGCTGCGCACTACGTCCAGAACCAATTCTGGACTGACATTAGCCCGACACGGTGATAAAACGAATGTGGAACGCTGCTGCGTCATGCTTCCAGAATCCATCCTGCTCGACGCTAATCAAACTTGTAACAACTTCCTCGATTCCTCGTGCACAAATACCTCTAGTTCCGGGCGAGGGGTGCCGTCTCCAGTGCTTCCCCTGCGTTCTGTGCGCTGTGCTCTACCCGTTCCCTCGATGCACCCCGTCGGGAATCCCTTGTGGTTGGCAGCGGCGGTGGCGGTGGCTCTTGCGTTCCCCGCGCGCGCGGCGCCGGCGCCCACCCAGCCAGAGTTCTACGACCCACGGATCTTGGGCGGGGAGATGCTCAATAACGGTGCGTCCCACATTTTGTGTATCTGACTAATAGTAACAACGAAAACGACGCAGCGAGTCGACACGGCGGCGAGCCCCTGAACGTGATCATCTCCGGGCGCAGCACGCCCTCCGTCCTCACCGACGCCGGCTTCCTCGGCTACGCCGGCGCACTCGGATTGTGCGTCCCACTCCTTTCATTCTTGTCGTCCCGCGCAGCTTGTAACTTTTGAAATTGTCATGTAGCGCAGACGAGTGCTTCGGGTTCCACATCGGGGACCGGCAGCCCGCGAATCTGGGCGATGGGCATGGGTGGGTGGACGAGGGGATGGTCCTGCGCGAGGACTTTGGCTCGGCGGCGATAGGGACGTGTTGGGAGAGTGTTGTTGGTGTGTTCGCGTCTCTTTGCTTTATGTCTTCCCTTCTCTTGCCATTTACTCTCCTTGCTCCTACTGTTTCCTCCGAAAGAATACTTACGCTATATGCAGGCGGGAATCATCTCCGGTATTATACCTACATCCCTCCCTCCTCCCCCTCCTTGAATAGCGGCTGACTCGGGCCAGGATGTACCGCCAAAACGGCCCCGCCGCCAACTCGGGCGCGCTCTTCCTCGCGGTGTCGCATGAGAGGGTGTGTCTTGGTCTCTGTCTTTCCTCGTTACGCTTTCCTCGCTTGTCCTCGTCTTTCTCTCCCTTGTCCTCGACCTCCGTTGTCCCCCTTCCCCGTCTTTCCTTCCGTTATCCTACCCTTGTCCTTGACCTCCCTTGTGCTCGTCTTTCCCTCCCTTGTCTCTTCCTCCCTTGTCCTCCATCCCCCTCCACTCCTACTCCCGTGCGAGAGAGCTAGGATAGAGAGCGCACAGAGCTCTCCCTCATTAACCCTACCTCCTCCCCCTTCCCCCTTCGTCCTTCCTCCACCCCGTGCGAGAGCGCTAGGATAGAGCTAGGTTTTGAGCAAGAACTAAACCCCTCTTAGAACTTCCTCACGCACCACACCATCTCGCCCGACGGGTACAACCTCGGGCGCGACCTCCTCGTCGCGCGCGCCACGCACACGCGCACCGTATTCAAAGGTGTGCGCTATGCCACGAGTGTACGGAGGCTGGAGGGGCTGTTGGGGGTTGGGAAGGAGGGGTGCGTGGTTTTTTCTTTTTGGCTATTATTCGTTCCTTTTAATTCTCCACTCGTTCATTCGGGAGTGTTCGGGCGTCCATGATTCCTTTTCGTCACAACACAACGACGAGTCTGAGTCTGACGAGCTGGGTGCGAGTGCGGCGCGGGCGAGTGACGTGCGCCGAGACGACGAGTGCGAGACGGGTCCGAGTCTGACGCGCGGACGGGGATGAGGACGAATCCCCTCCTTCCCTCCTCCCCTCCTTCTATTATATCCCTCTGAATCTCCAGCTGATCAGTGATATAGGATCAACCACAGTGCGTATTATTATAATCTTTTCTTTATTCTCACCTTCCTCCATCGTCGCACCTCCTCGCTCCCTCCTTCCGTATACCTTTCTCCTTCTTCCGTTCTCGCCCCTCCATCCTTCATCCTCGCTCCTCGCATCTCCTTCCCTACTCGCTCGGAGTTTCAGTCTCGACGTGCTGCGTCTGACGCTGCTTCCGCCTCGCACCTCCTCGCTCGGAGTTTTGGTCTCGACGTGCTAGCCGGGTTGTGGGCGGGGTGCGGGGTGCTGCGTGCTGCGCCCAGCTCGTTCTCTTCTCCACCGAGCCGACGTCGAGTCAGCGCCCGGACTCTGATAGGCGAGGCGCGTACCGACGCGGACTGCGACTTGGACTGGGGCGAGGGCCGGCGAGGCGGCCCGCATAGCGCTGGGTCCGATCGAGTCGAGGTCGAGGACCGCCAGGACAGAGCCACCCGAAGCGTGGGAGAGGAGCTCGGCACGCGCGGGGCGAACTGAGACGACGGGCGACGCGGCGCGCGCATGTGTATGGACGGGCTACGCGAGGCGCTGGGTGCTGGAGCTCTGGCGCGCACGGTGGAGGAGCTGAGCCCGTGCATGGCCCGGGGCGAGCTGAGACTCCTCTCCTCTCCTTCCTTGACGAGACGCACAAAACCAAACGGGCTTGTGTCGTCTCGTGGTAATCTATACGATTCCCCGGGGGACTACGCCGACGAGGTCGAGGGCGGAAGGAGGGTGCGCGGGTCGAGGCGCCGCATGCGTATTCGGTCTCGGCTGGAGCGCTGGGGCCCACTTGGGGGAGGAGCTCGTGGATGGGGGCGGACTGAGACTCCGCTCCTCTGGTCCCTTGACGATAGGCACGACGCGGAGCGGGAGGGTACGTCGCGCGCATGTGTGCCGTGACGAAGAGGCGACGCGGCTTGTGGATTCAGTGGCGGTTTGTGGATGGCCCGGGGCGGACTGAGACGACGGGCGACGCGGAGCGGGCGAGCGCGTCGCGTGCATGCGCACCGCATCCGGGCGTGGCATGTGGATTCGGTGGATTTGGTGGCGACTGGGGCGCGACCGACACGAGGGAGGAGGTCGAGACATAACCCTCTTTTCCCTTGACGAGACGGGCGACGCGAGCGGGCGGGCGTCGTGCTCAGTCGAAGGGAGCAGGGAGCAGGGAGAGTGGGCTTGTGCGGGGGCGCGCGCGGTCATTCGTGATTGGCGCTGCGCGCCTACGGGCGAGCTTCGACTCCTCTGCTCCCTTGACGAGACGGAGGGCGTCATGACCAGTAGGGAGGAGGGAGGAGCTCGTGCATGACCCAGGGCGGGCGGACTGAGTCCCCTGCTCCTTTGACGAGATGGCGGGCGTCAGTCGACGGGGGAGGGGAAGGGTGCGCACGCCCGGGTCCAGGCGGACGGGGACATTCATTCGTGATTGGCGCTGCGCCGCACGGGATGGGCATGGGCATGGGGGAGCGCAGACTCCCGCCGATACGAGCCGAGCGAAGA